ATGTTTTCTGTATCTATAAGTCTGCTTTTGTTCTGAGTTTATTTTTATGTTTAGATTCAATTGTTGATAGATATGTATTTATTGCTATTTTATTGTTAATATTTTTATCTTTTTTTCTTTCACTTTTTTCTTAAAGATGATGATTTAACATTTCACATAATACTGGTTTGGTGGTAATGAACTCCTTTAGATTTTTCTTGTCTGGAAGCTCTTTCTCTGACCTTCATTTCTAAATGATAGCTTTGCTGGGTAATCTTTGTTGTAGGTACTTGCTTTTCATCACTTTGAATATTTCTTGCCACNACAACCATTAGTTCTCTGTATTTATGAGTCTGCTTCTGTTTTGGTTTGTTTGTTTGTTTGTTTCTTAGATTCCACAAGTAAGTGAAATCATATTGTATTTGCCTTTCTCTGTCTGCCTTATTTTACTTAGCATAATATCCTCTAGGCCCATCCATGTTGTTACAAATAACAAGATTTTACTTTTTTATGGCCAAGTTGTATTCCATAGTGTATGTGTGTGATTATTGTGTAATCTTTATCTATTTATCTTCTTTATCTACTCATCTATCAATGGACGTCTAGGTTGCTTCCATACCTTGGCTATTGTAAATAATGCTGCAGTGAACATAGGAGTGCATATATCTTTTCCCACTACTGTTTTGTTTTATTTGGCTAAATACCCAGAAGTGGAATTGCTGGGTCTATGGTAGCTCTATTTTTAATTTTTTGAGGAACTTCCCTATTATTTTCCATAGTGGCTGCACCAGTTTGTAATTCCACCAACAGTGCACAGGAGTTTCTTTTGTTCGTATCTTTGCCAACACTTATCTGTTGATAATAACGATTCTAACAGGTAGAAGGTGATAGATAGGTCATTGTGGGTTTGATTTGCATTTCCCTGATGATAAGTGACATTGAGCATCTTTTCATGTGTCTGTTGGCCATCTGTGTGTCTTCTTTGGAGAAATGTCTATTCAGGTCCTCTGTTCATTTTTTAAGCAGATAGTTTGCTTTTTTTGATGTTTAGTTGTATGAGTTCTTTATATATTTTGGACATTAACCCCTTATCAGGTATATCATTTGCACATATCTTTCTCCATTCCATAAGTTGTCTTCTCACTCTTTTGATGGTTTTCTTCACTGTGCAAAAGCTTTTTAGTTTAATGTAGTACCATTTTTTAATTTTTGCTTTTGTTGCCCTTGTTTGAGGAAATATACTTCTACCAGAAGTATAAAGACAAATAATATGTAGACTCACAATACAAATTGTTTACATAGCATTACAAGTACAGAGATATTGACCACAGCTCTTCACAGTGATTGTCCCACCCCTTAAAAAGACTGCAGCAAAGGATTCAATTGTCTAAAACAGTCTGCAGTACAGTAATTAAATGCTTCAGCCCATAAACATATCCCTCATCTATTGTGTTGCTAGGGAAAACATGAGCAAAACCTATCATTCGCACTTCTACTTCTGCAATCTCTTGGCAACCAGTGGGAAGATGGTGGTAAACTTTTTCCAGTTGGGAAAGTACATTTCCGTTTAAATGTTCCTATGACAAGCTTTTCCACCCATTGTCTTGTTCTAGATTTTCAACTTTCAATGAAGTCTCACTGTGATGATTTTTTGAATACATTTTTCTGTGACGAACATACATCCTGGACAAGCTTTTGCCTACTGAAGCCTCTATTTTTCCACTGGTTGTGGAACTTAACACTTGAAAGTTATTATTGCACTCCAGTACGTCTGTGTCTGAGGGTTGTCCTTTGGACAAAAACTTTTCTGCCAAAGTTCTGTCATTTGATTTTATAGTAGTTGGCTGAGATGAACTTCATAAACAAACAGTAATGAACTCACATAAAAGTTAAGCTGCTCTGGCTTTCACATCACTGCAGAATACTCTGTCTTCTGAATACTGGCAGCAATAGCATCTTTTCTTACACAGAATCCATTACGGAAAAAACCTGGAAACTCCATCCTTTAGAGTTTCTTTGTTAAGCTCCTTCCATGGTGCTTGTTTTGTGTCTCATGGCTATCAGAATGAACGTGATAAACCTTCATGCCAAGCACCAAGAACCAATCTCTTCCATTAATGGGTACTTGCTGAAGTGTTGCTGAATCTTCTCAGATGACACAAAAGAATCATAGCTTTTTTGTCCTGTCTTTATATCCATTATACAGGGTTTATTAAATGTATGGGTCACATCTTCCAGTTTTAGGTATAAATCATTTGGTGCAATGGGAGGTGACCAAATGCCGTAATATTTTGGCAAATATTTTTGTAGCTCTAAAAGAACACCATCGGTAGTACCATCAGCAGTGTAAACCATAGTATGGAATCCCAGCTCTCCTTCTTGGACCCCTTGGAGGTGGCTGTAGCTGTTTCAGAACTGTGCCATCTGGATGTTGCAAGATACCCACTTTGTCTTTCCCATACCTATGAATTTGAATTCTGCAGACTGCAAGCTCACTAAAAGTCATGTGGATTTTGTTGCAATTATGGCAAGTTTTTGTTTTTGAAATTAAAAAAAAAATTATTATCTATGGGAGGATGCCACTCTGTAGTTTTCAAATTCCAAAAATTCTTTTTAAGTTTCATTTGGCTAAAGAGTAGGGACAGCTGACATGCAGACTTCTGTGACATTTAAGTGAGATCAGACAAAATAAACAGACATGGAAATGAACCATTTATATCTAAGCTTTTTGCTTGGTTCTTGGTTCTTGAGTATAAGATAGCAACTTATAAACAATAAAGCACTACCATATTTTGTATTACTTTCATTTTCGTGCCCCGTGCTTTTATTTCACAGATTCAGTGAGGGCATTGTGCATATTTGTTGAGTCTTATGACCTGTTCAGGCACTGAAAGCAGGATCTGATCCTACATTTGGCTTAAGTACCTGGTAAACCTTTATTCTTTAAATGAGTGACAACATAGCATGCAGTAGACTATCTGTATATACACACACATATATATATTGCATATGTGTATATATATGTGTGTATATATATATATGGAATTTCCTGCTTGACAGACTTCATAAAACTTAAGAGCAAACAATTACCCCCCAAAACACCATCCTTGGCATTTAACGACCACATCGTTACCAAATGAAGTCAGTATGTTCTACCTAGTTTCTAAAGATGACATTTCCTCACTTATCCCTGCCACTTCCCCTCTGGCAGAGACAGGGGCTGTGCACATGATAAGTTATCAGTAAACATTTACTTAATGAGGGAATGATGTCTGAAATTCAGTTTGGACCCTAGTGTGCTTATTGAGACAATAATTTTATTGCTTATTAAAATTACTGTACATTTAAGACATCTCTTCAGTCAACAATTCAGGTAAAATAAGCAATACATCTACCCCAGAATGATATTCTAGATATTAGTTGGGAATTAAATTCTCAATCATAGGGCATATTTTTCATTAATTAACTGAAGCATAATTAGCTGTCACTGGACATGCGGCTCAGTTGCATGGATCCATTCTCAGCACATCTAAAGATAGTCCTCTCCCGAGGCTCTGGTCAGGTGGTAGATTTTGAAATAACAACCAGTAATGTTTGAGGGTTTTACACTGACCTTTTCCAGACACAGGCACCGGCAGACACGCAAATAGACCCAGGCTGCGCCCCGGCCCTGCCCTCTTCCTTCTGAGGAACACAGTGAAGTTTTTTATGCTTTTAGAAATTGGGGGTGGGGGGAGAGTTTGCTATTCTGTAAATATTTTTATGCTTTTAAAAACTCCCAAATTCATTTGTTTTCTGAGTTGATGACACTCTCTTTTCCTAGTTCTTCATGTTATCCTCTAAGATAGGCAGTGAGAAGTGAGATAAGCCAACGGAAGCAGAAATAACCTGGAAAAAAATCTATTTGTGGATGAATAGTGGCCACTCTTGGATTCTAAAGCTTTTTTGGTAGTTCATTAATAACAAACAGAAAAAATACGAAAACAAACAAAGCAAACAAATAGATTTAAAAAAAAAATCCTATCCTTCTGAGAATGAGCATGAAAGCTATTGAATTATAGTTTTCATTGACTATTATCTATTGCACATCTCCCAGGAATAGGAGCCTGACTCTTTGGTACTTGGGTTAGTAATTCTTTCATTAGTAAAACCCTAACTTGCAACCCTCTTCAAAGCCCCTCCAAATGGCTGCCAAAAGGAAGAGCACTTGTGTGCTTTATTTGTATAAATGCCCTAGGCCATGATATCAAGCAGATTTAAGAGAAGTGGAAAAAGGCACAAAACTATTCTAGCTCCTTGGCAAATTCAGAGAGCTCCATCCTCAAATCCAGCAAGTCCTTATTGTTTAGTGGTTGGGCTCTTACAGTGTACTTGCCAAGCCTGCTCCCAGTTAGATATCACCACCGTCACTTTCTTTCAATGTAACTGGGAGATTTACGAATAGCAGTTTGGGGATTTTGGCAATTAGAATTCTCTTTTCTTACCAGGATTAAGCTTACCTTAAAAACATTGTCTTCTTTAGAGATCTCAGTTTCTATAACTTTAGCCACATGGCCATGTACAAAATCATCACTCACCTGAGGTTTTCCACAATTCCAGATCTGTGAATGAGATAATTGGGGTCCCTTGTATTGGAGATTGTTTTAACATCATCTTAATCTAAAAGTGCCCTCTGACCCAAAAGTTACTAAAGAAGATAATACGTTCTTGGAGATTCATTAACCGATAATCTGTTTTCGGAATTAAAAAAAGAAAAAAAAGTTGTCTGGTTTTATTCCAAAGAGCATTTCAAAAGCCATCTATTGGACAAAAGTTGACAAAGGTAGAAATGACTCAATAAAGCAATCTTAGTGAATAATGCCCTCTTGTAGAATCTTGCTTGCTAATGCCAGTGGTCATTAAAAGAGAAAAAATGTTATTTGTCGTTAATAAAAAAGGTTTATTCGCTATGAGATTGAAACATGCTTAGTCGCTTAGCAATGGCATTATGTTTAAAATTATTATTCTTTCTTTGCATTTAGATCTTTCTCTGGAATTAAAGGACTCCAGCTGAAGGTTACCCTCCAGCCCAATGAGAATTACTTTTTCTATGTGAGAGCCATCAATACATTTGGAACAAGCGAACAGAGTGAAGCTGCCCTCATTTCCACCAGAGGTACTTTCTCCTTTGCACACAGCAAAATATCTCCAAGCATTCTCATTTCTTCCCTTCCACCGCCCAGAGAAAATGTCCTTGAAGGCAACTCCTTAAAGGCCCAACCTGCTGGCAGGGCAAGGTTTTTGGCATGAGGATCCTAGATTGGTCAAGGGTCAAGATGTTTCTTTTATTTTTCTGGTTTAGAGGGTCTCAACCTTGTCAACCGTGACTACCGATTAGCAATCTGTCAGGTTGCTTAAAAAATACTGATGCCTGTAGATCCCAATCTGATTATTTAAAGATGGACTCTGGTGGGTGTTTAATCTCCCCAGATGATTCTTGTTGGCCTCATGATGTGTTATAATTTGTGGGTCTGTTTCGAGTGTGTGTGTGGGGGGGATATTCTTATTTTATTACATTGTGAACTCTATGAACAAGCTTCCGGTCTTATTCCTCTGTTTGTTTGTCCTACCACATTGTTTGTACCAATTAATGTTTGTTGAATGAATGAATAACTGAAGGAGGTGATAAAACTGTTCAATGACATTTTGGAGAAAAGACCAAAATGATGCCAGCAAAAATGTTTGGCTGTTCTCAATTATTGTGAAAAGAGCTGAGGAATGGAAAGGCAATCATTTTATTATTTCATTCCAAACCCAAAGATGGCACAAGATTGAGTGTGGCACATTAAGTGACTTGCTGAATCAGCAAAAACTTGTGCATGCGCCTCACTTGCGATGTAGTTAGGGACTGCCTGATATTTATAAAGAGAAGACATGAGGGCTGCCTGCCCAGAAATGTTTTCTCTACAGTCCCAATAGGGTGCCTGTACCTTTCACTGTCAGAACCACCCCTTTAGGTCACACCAGTGCATTTTCAAATTTTATATGTGCGCAGGACTCTCCTGAGGATCTTGTTAAAATACAGATTCTGATTCAGTAGGTCGGGGGTGGGGCCTGGGATTCTGCATGTCTAACTCATTTCCAGGGGAGATAGATGCTGCTGGTGCAAGGAGCACACCTTGCATAGCACAGCAAGTTCTAGTGCAGAAGGCTCACCAGGAGAGGTAGCCAGCCACTGGCATTCACTAATGCCTTATGAAAATTTCACTGGGAATTTAAAGACACTGGGGTATTTTGATGTCAGGAGAAAGGGCGACTAAGGTCTGAAATATAGGACTTGGCCTCGGGACAGCACTTGACATTGTGGCAATGTTGTAATCCTACTTTCTCAACTGCAATAGGAACCCGATTTCGCTTGCTGAGAGAAACAGCTCATCCTGCTCTGCAAATTTCCTCAAATGGGACAGTGATCAGCTTCGCTGAGAGAAGACGGCTGACAGAGTAAGTAGAAGAAAGTACAAGATGCCTCTGAGTAGTGTTCTGAGGGTGTGTCACTTCATCTGGCCTCACTGTGCATATTTTTGGTTTAATGAGCATGCCTGGGTGTGTGGTATCGAATATAAATGTGTGCACACCCATGCAGTGCGGTTATGGTTCATTGCTAGGCGGAAGGTGACAGAGAGAGTTCATAACTTGGAGCAAGTGTCAATATTTTTATTGGAAATATAAGCACAGGCTTATATTGTTTAAAACTTAGGCTTTTTTAAGGTATTTTCTCTGGTTTAATGAAAAAAGAATCCAGGTTAATTCTTCTATTATTTTCGATAGCAAGCCAGATTTTGCATCCATCCACTTGAGACAGAATAGAGAATGACATTTTGTTGAGTTTCTAGCTCTGGCCACATGCAGGACTTTCAGACTTTTCACACTTTCTTGCCCACCCCATGACACCTGCAGTGCCCACAGAAAGAAGCATCGAAGTAAAGGAAGGCCAAAAGCTGAGGGCACAGTGGGGATACTGCTCTGCAGTTTGCCTGCAGTCTCTCATGGTTATTTTGAGGGTTAAAATGGTCAAATGGAAGCATGTTTGTGAAAGGCTTTTGAAAACTGTAACTCATGTGAAACACAGGCTGCTGTGGGCACTGGTGTGGGCCGCCAGCATGCTCTCACGGTAAAGCGCTGAGCTGGCCAACAGTGACTTGCACTGCTTTCCTATCAGGTTGCCATTCACCTGTCTCTGGCCCAGCTCAGGTGTTACCTGCTCCTGGAAATAGCCAAGCCTTCTCTGGACCCTGGCACCCTTTGATTTGATCTGTCAGAGGGTCTGAACATGTGTGGAGTCCTTTGTCAGCCACCCAATCTTGAATAATCCTCAAGCAGCAGCCCAATATTCTTCATCTCCGAATCCCCAGAATCTAGCGTGGGACCCAGAACATTGTAGTTGCTAAATATATACAGATGAGTGAATTCCAAAAATAAAATACTTCTAAAATATTGAATAGGTTGGGCTTTTCTGTCTTTTTAAAAATTCCTCAAAAAAATCAAAAAGAAAAGAAATAGACTGGTTGATGAGTTGATAACTATTGATAACTGTAATGTATTTTGTAGAGTTTCATTTATTATTATTAACCTCAAAAGTATCTCATAGATATCAGGCGGGCAGGTTTTGCCCCAGAGAGTAACAAACGGCCTGTCAGTAGCCACCTCTCTGAAATGAGTTGGGTAAAGACATGAGAAAGTGAAACACATTCCCTTGCATTAATCATTTTCTCATCTATTAAAGGAGAGAGGGAGAGGTGCTGACTTAATGCTGCTTAAAATTAAAAATGCTTCCTTGCTGTCTCAGCCATTTTAAAGCAAAATTGAGCAATTCACGCAAACAAGGTTACCCGTCAGCAGTTGAAAGTGCTTTGGATCATTTCCCTGCGCCTCTTATAAAAATAGCTAAGGTGAAACAAGAAGAGACCTTTCAACAACCTCTCAGGCACACCTACTACAAATCCAAAGAGGCCAGAGTCCCAAGGACTGTTGACCACAAGCCTTCAGAAAGCACGCTCGTCACACCTGGTCAGTTTCCACACTCCCACTGCCCTGGCCTCATCAGTTGTCTTGCTGTTCAAGAGCAGCACCTCATTGATCTCTGTGCCCAGTTAAGTCAGCAGACACTGGAACTCATTGTTAAAGAGGTTTTGGAGACTCTTTTTGCAAGTTTTGTTAGAGAACTTTCCAAGTCACATTCTCTTGAAACTCCCCACCTGCCTCCCTTGTATTTTCTCAATCTCTTTCAAAGCAGAGATTGTGCCATTTCTTTTTCGTCCTGCATTATTCTACTTATTGTCTGGTTCCCAGCTTCTTCAACAGTTGCAATGTGCAGTACATGCATGTTGTATGTGGCAGTGGAAATATGTCAAATGCATATTGAGAGTTTAGGGAATTCTGTGGCGATTAGGTCAAGGTTGGGGGCACAATGAACAATAGAAGTCTTTAGTCAAATTCCAGCAGGATAGAGTTTAAACTGTGTGTGAGTTTGTGAATGTTGATGTTTATGAGATGAAGGCTAGCAAATCCTGTCAACTTTGCCTACAGAATCCCATCAGTGCTGGGTGAGGAGCTGCCTGCCTGTGGCCAGCATTACTGGGAAACCACAGTCACGGACTGCCCAGCTTATCGCCTTGGCATCTGCTCCAGCTCGGCTGTGCAGGCCGGTGCACTGGGACAAGGGGAGACCTCGTGGTACATGCACTGCTCTGAGCCACAGAGGTAAGCTGGAGCCCTGCCCCTCCCCTCTTCATCAAAGTGTCATGAGTTGATGTCTAGGCAGAGAACTCTGTGGGCCTAATAAATGGCTTCCCACTCCCCTGCCCAAGTTCTGAGCCAACTAAGAAAGAAAACAAGAGAGTCAAGTGTATGGAGATTAAACTATTATTCTTATTACCGAGGAAGTCAATTTTAGAGAATGTGGTTCATATCTGAGAGCAAGAGGTTTTTTTAATATCGAACCCTACTAATAGACAGACACACTCACCTAGAGGCATGGCCAGGCCAGCTTCCCTGCCCTGCAAGGCCGAGTTGGTCCCTAGAGAAGCAGAGAAGGATGAGTGTCTCCCTAGAAAGCTCCTAATCAAGATGTAGGGAACAGGAAGGGCCTATCGGGCCATGCATGGCCAGATCCTTCTAAACTCACCCCAGAGTGGGGAGATTCCACAGGGCAATGCTAAAAGGGCTCCCTCCACAGGGGGTCAACAGGAGTGAGGAGGAAGTGGATCCCGAGCCCCTTCCCACATTGGTCTGTATCAAGGATTGGGAAGCTATAGCCCACAGGCCAAATATGCCCCGCTGTTTATGTAAATAAGCTTTTATCGGCACGCGGCCATGCTCATTTGTTTACATGTTGTCTATGGCTGCTTTGGTGCTACAATGGCCAGGCTGACTAGTTGCAAAAGAGACTGAATGGCCCCCAAAGCCTAAGACATTTATTATCTGACCCATTACAGACAAAGTCTGCTAACCTCTGGCCTATATTATTAGTATTGTTTACTTGGTTGAAGTGAAAAAGCCATTAACCTGTGTTCGTCTCAGAGAGTTAAGGGCAACCATGTTCTGATCTGAATATGCTCACAGGGTGGTCTCATAAAGGAGCAGTGGACTAGGGGCCAGAGACCTGATTTTAGTCCTGGTTCTACCCTCCTGTTGGCTACTTACCAGAAGTTGCTTAACCCTTAGAGGATATGCCTCATGTGTCTTGTCAGGGGACAAGGATGCCTGGTCTGCTACCTTTTGGGTTTGTGAGGATCACATGAAATCAAGCATAGGGGAGAGCTTTGAAATTGTAAAGTATCAGACAGTGAAGGATATTATTCAAATGTGATGCTTTAAAAAGAAAGCCGTCAGTGCTTGCAAATTCCCAGAGAAGGGCCCACAGATTGGGATTGTGCACGTCTCTCCCTGCATCCTACTCGACAGTTTGATTCTCTGACATGGTTCATAAGGACACCGTCTCCAAGAGCTATTTAAAGTCACAGTTCATCAAGTCAGAGCAATTATGATTACTTGATATTCAGCACTGTGCAATGCTTAAGGACCCAGCCCCTGCCCAGAGTTTAAACATCACTCAAACCTGGAGTTTTTAATCAGATTTAGAGCTCAAACTAGGTATCAATTTCATGAAAAGGTCCTTTGACACTTGCACCCTTGAAAACACAAACCAAAGACTAGCCTCCAATAACAGATTTCTAGCCTGCAGAAAACAGAATTGTATGTTTTGTTCAACAGTTTCAACAACTTGGTCTTTAGCTCTTTCAGGCCCAGGGTAGGTTCAGTTAATTCTGGGAGGAAGAGTATGCCCACCAGTGTAATCACAACCCAGAGAGGTCAGGTTTCAGGCGCCTTCATTTCATGTTTCGACTAGAGTATTCCTGGCCTTCAGGGTGCTGAGAGAACTGCTAGAGCAGACCTTCCTATGTTTTTCACTTCTCTGGCTTCATGATTTTAAACCAAGCAGTGTTATTCTCCATTCTTCTTGCATGGAATCCCAGCTTCGAGATGTCACACTGGAAAAGAGAAATGAAGGGAGTATGAGGGGAGGGAGAGCCTGTCCATTCCTAACCTCACCACCCTAGTTCAAGGCTTCCACACCTCCTTTACCAGTTTCACCACGGCCACCCTGCCTGTTCCCTCT